GGGGGTGGGCCTGTGTCTGTCTGTGTAGCGTACGTAAAAGAATAAATGAAAAGATACACTCATTTAACGCACTATATAAAAAAGACTGACTTTCTTGAAAGAAAATAAAGAAAGCAGTGATTTTTAAAGGTGTAAAAAACCCCAACAAAGAGCAGTTCCTAGTCAAAGTGGGATAACTACAAGAATTAGAAACGATATTTCATCTTGTGACACGGTTGTCTCCCATGGTTGTACACCGACAAAGGGTCAAAGGAAAAACAGGTTAAGTCACATTCGTCCTATCACAAAGTACCATATTTTCACTTTTTCATCAAGAGCTTAGTTTACTCTCAGCTTAATATGGTGTTGTAAAAATACAGTCTGTAAATTAATCTATTGGTTTTGTAGGGATATTCTGCCGATTCTGTTTCAAATTAAGGCCGAGTACCCTGATTTTAATTTTCTCAAAGGAAGGAATTATCCACTTTCTCTTTTTACCCTTTCAAAATGTATCAAGACACAAGGGCCATACTGTCTCTTCTTGGTGAAATGTCTGCCGAATATTCAAACAAACCCGGCGAGGTATTCCCTCTATTGGTAATCTCGTAATCGTGAGATTACGGGTTGTTTGGGAGTTAGTTCGAACCTCAGCTCGGCCCGAAGCTGTGCCCTTGGGAAAGGCACTTCACCCGAATTTTCCAATTTGAAGGCGTCTTATTAGAAATTGTAGTTAAATTCGGAGGTCCTACCTATTTAATAATCTTACAGTGTTGCTAGGGGAGTTAAAATCTCTACAGTTTCTCACATCTTTTCCGGGCTAGGCATTCTTAGAGTTGAGACCCGCCAAGAGGGCCATATTGTCAGTTACGTCATTCTAGCCGTAGATACCAGCGCCTGTAGTGTAATCTCTTGGCTCTTCGCCATCGCACTTAAAGGACATGGGTTTGATACTTGGGTTGGGAAATTTGTTTCGACTTTCTGCATCTATCTGCTAGGATACTATTTTCCTCTGAACAACTTAATTTTCCAATTATCCAATTTGTGTCGATGGCGGCGTAAAATACTTATCTTAAAAAAAAAGTTATAGACTTTTGTGAGATATCAGGAACTTATTTCGTAGGCAAGTTGCTTGGATGTGCTAAACCTAGGATGTCAATTTTTGCAGGAAAGAAAAAAACAACAACCCCAACAAACAACCATGACACTCTTTTAAATACATGTTGTATTTTTCTATCTTTTTTCAACATATAGAATTTGAATTTCGATGAAAATGTTTCTGGAGCTCGTACAACCAATACCACAATTTAAGAACATACAATGGAAATAAATCGGGCTCAGCACGTCTGCATAGCAGGTTGACGATTTTCTCCTTTATATTTAACGCAACTACTCATAAAATGGTACCTCCTTCATCATCCAGTGCCACATCTGTGACAGACATCGACGATCATGGTTTTCAATTCATTCCTTTGCTCAGACTCAGATGTTCTAAAAAAAAGTTACGTTTCCCTGATCTCTCCCTGTTACCCATTTGTTTAGGTTCCTTAAGTATGTTGTTCTGGGCCTACCCCTGCCTCGCTTGCCCTCAATGTTGCCAGTGAAACCCCCTTACTGTTCCAAAGTGTAGCTTACTTTCTGTTGTTATCCTTACAGGTTGCAGGCGTCATCAACAGAGTGAGACCGAGAAAGAAAACCGAGCCCATAATGGTGAAGGAATCTCCAGTCATCGTTAACAGTGAAGGGGTGGACAATGCATCTAAGCAAGGCAAGAAAAAGAGCGACGAATCTAAGAAGGACAAGAAAAAGACCGACGATACTAGACTGAGAAATATAGAAAATAATAAGACAAAGAAAGTTGGACAGATTAATAAAGCGTTCGATGTGGGGATAGTGTAAGGAATTCCTTGACGTCATACCCATCGTCTTTTGAGGAGCCTAGGAAGATTATGTGAGAGGAAGTGAAGTGAGGGTGTGTGGAGAGAGTATGTGTGCATGCATGTGTGTGTGTGTGTGTGTGTGTGTGTGTG